CGGCGCGTGGCTCGGAGTCGGATAGCATGGGTTACGCCATCGAACTGTCGACGCGTTTCTCTTCGCCGTCGGACCCCTCGATCGGGCTGCTGACCTTCACCAATGACTCCGAAGGAAACGACGGCTACGCCAACGGGCGCTACTACACCGAGTCCGGCGCGTCGAATTCGGCGCGTGATGTCGGGTTGTCTTTCCTCGTCAGCACGCAGCCGACTTTCCTCCCTGGCGATACCAACGGCGACAACATCGTCGATATCGAGACCGACCTTCAAGCAATCGCAGCGAACTTCCGCCAGACGGTCGTCGATATCGCCAGCGGTGACCTTAACGGCGACACCATGGTGGATTTCGACGACTTCCAGATTTGGAAGGACAACTATACCGGGCCGGTCCCGGCGGGCGCGCTGGCGTTCCTAACGGTCCCTGAACCGACCGCCGCGGCGGTTGCCGCGTTTGGCGTCATCGGTTGCGCGGCCCGCCGGCGTCGTGACAGCAGACGCTAGAAAGCCCTCTGCGACCGAGTTCAACGGATCCGACCGCTACGAGTTGACACCACTCCCAAACGCCAGTCCGGCGTCTCACAGCCGATGATCGAGCGACCTATGACCAGCGTCGAGAGGCGATTGAAAATGACTCAACGTGCTAAAGCTCCTGCCCTGCTCGCCGCCTGCATTGCAGCGGCCCTCGGGGTGACTCACCAAGCCGCGGCGCAGACGAACTATCAGTTCCGCGGCGACGGCATCCAGAACTTGCCGACGACGGCAGAGCCCGCGCCCAACGGCGATTGGAACCTCGACACCAACGGCGCTGGAACCGACGGCGAGTCGTACTGGTGGAGTTCGGGCCTGCAACTTAACTTCATCCCAGACCACGCGATCGGTGATGGCGAAAACGCTTACATCGAGAACGGCGGCTTGGCTTATGTGACGAGTGATGGTGGGATCTATCCGGGCCGGATCGTGATTGGCGAGGCCAGTGGGACGTCCGGCGCCGTCGAGGTGCGCAGCGGCGGGGTGATGCGCGCCTTGGTCGGCGGGGCCGTCAACGGCAACATCACGGTGGGTAGCGCCAGCGGAACCGGCACGCTCACCGTGCTGCCGGGCGGGACCATGTCGGCCGAATCGAGCCTCGTCTCCGGCAACAACGCGGCGAACTCGATCGTCGTCGGCGGCGCCGGCGCCGGGACCGCGTCGCTTACGGCCGGCAGCGCCCAGCTGAACGCCGTAACGCACGTCTACTCGAACGCCGATTTCGCCGTCGGTGGCGCCCTGGCCTTCGGCTCGCAGGGCAATTCGAACTACATCGTTCAAGCGACCGGCAACAACGCCAGCGGCAAGATCACCGCCGGCGGCACGGCGAACCTCAATGGCTCACTGACGTTGGACATCGGTTACACGCCCGCCCTGGGCGACTCCTGGACGGTGTTGCAAGCCGACTCGTTCAACGGCAGCTTCTCCAGCATCAACTCGAATCTGTCGCTGGCGTACAACCAGAACCTCGTTGCGACCAAGGTCGCCTCGGGCGGCCAGATGGATTACAAGATCGGCCTGGAAGAGGTTCTCGTGCTCGAAGTCAATCGAGACACGGGCGTCGCTACGCTCACCCACCCGGGCTCGTCTACCGTTCAACTCGACGGTTATTTCATTGGCTCGGAGGGCGGTCTCTTGAACGCCTCACCGAGCGCCTGGACCAGCCTGAGCGAAGGGGGCCAACTCGGCGCCGACTGGATCGAGACCGATCAACGGGCTGACAACATCGGCGAATTGAAGATCGGCGCCGACGCCACCTTTGGCGCGGACGTCTCGCTGGGCGCGATCTACAACCCGCTGGCCGGCGAGTTCGGCGCCAATGTCGATGACCTCCAGTTCACCTTCCGTCGCTCCTCGGACGGCGCCCAGATCCCCGGCGTCGTTCAATACACCGGCTCGAAGGCTAATACCTTGGTGCTGCAGGTCGATCCGTCTGGCTCGGGCGACACGTTGCTCCGCAACACGTCGGCGACGACGGTCGAGATCGACGGCTACGAGATCCTCTCGGCCGCGGGATCGCTCGACACGGCGGGCTGGACCGGCATCGACGGGGCGGGGACCGACTGGGTCGAAGCCATCAACAACAGCGCGAATCAACTCGTCGAGTTCAACACCACCGGGTTCACGACGTTGGCGCCCGGCGCCACGCTCAACCTCGGCGATCTCTTCGATGGCAGCGCTCAAGACCTCGACTTCAACTTCCTGCTGATGGGCGAAGAGGAAGCGACCGCGGGCGTGGTGGTTTACGAAGCCTATGTCCCGCCGGCGGGAGACTTTAACAACGACGGCATCGTCAACGCCGCGGACTACACGGTCTATCGGGACAACTTGGGCGCCGCCGGCCTGCCGAACGACAACGGTCTGGGGACCGTTGGAGAGGCTCACTACGAGCTGTGGCGGGACAATTACGGCGCCACCTCTGGCGCGGCCTCGTCGGTCGCTAGTGCGGTGCCCGAGCCGTCATCAGTTGCGATGGTCGTCGTGATGCTCGGACTGTCTGCTCGACGCCGATGAGAGTCGGAATACTGTCGCCAAGGCCGCTCGCAACGGTTGGCGCAAGCGTGGAATACTACGGAGAAGGCAAGATGCAAGTGGAAGGCAGATCGCAACGCCGCAACGCGTTTACCCTGGTCGAACTGTTGGTGGTGATCGCGATCATCGGCATCCTCGTGGCGCTCCTGCTGCCGGCCGTGCAGGCGGCCCGTGAGGCGGCGCGGCGGTCGCAGTGTCTGAACAACTGCCGGCAGATCGGGCTGGCGATCCACATGTACCACGACTCGACGAAGGAATTGCCGCCCAGCCGGATGTGGGACGGCGGGTTCACTTGGGCCGGCGTCGTGCTGCCGTACATGGAGGAAGCGGCGATCAGCAACGCCGCGGACTTCACTCGCAACTTTAGGGATCAGCCGGACTTGGTTAAGGAAACGGTCGTTCCAACGTTCCTTTGTCCTTCCCGTATCCACGAACAGCCGCTGAACTACTTAAAGTCGGAAGTGATTCCGTATATCCAAACTCCCACCGGCGGCGCCGTCAACGGCGCGGGGAGCACGCGAGGCATTCAAGGCGACTACGCCTGTGTGTCGAGCACCTTCCGCTCTGGCAACGGTGGTTTTGATCACGTCTTCGATGGCGCAATCATTCTGCCGAAGTCGTTGCCAGGGAACCGGTTCAAGTCGCGGACTAAACTGTCAAAGATCATTGATGGCACGTCGAAGACGCTGATGGTCGGCGAAAACTCTTATTGGCTCGCAGCGCGAGTTTCGATCTACGACGGTCTCGACAACCCGGGCGCGATACTTGGACTGGGAGCTCTGAGCCGAGTAAAGAGTGCTCTTCCCGATGGTGGGCGCNNAGTGGATTTCAGTCGTCGGGAGGGAGGCAGCGTTTCGCAAGTTCCGAAGCAATACCCTGGTGAAGGCTGCGAGTCCGGCGCCGGTTGCAACGCTTGGTTCGGCGGTGATCATCCCGGCGTCTTGATCACCACACTCTGCGATGGCAGCACACGCACGATTCAGAAGGACGCCGACCTGGCAATTCTCGAGTGCTTCGTCACCCGTGCCGGCGAAGAGACCTACAGCCTCGAAGACCTGTAAGCGGTCCGGCGATCACTGACGCCGTACCTCTACTTCCGACGGATCAGCGGCCTTCTTTGAACGTACGAGCGGCGGCGAAAGTGACACATCACCGTTGAATCGCCGGCGTCAACTCGACCGGCGCCACTGTGGGTCCCACGCAACGGGGGCCGTAGGCCGTCCACACGATCGGATCGATGCACATCTCGCGACGCGTCATATTCGGGTCCCAGGCATGGTAGACCGCGACATCGGTCTTGCCGTCGGTCGCTTTGACGATTGAGTGATGCCCGGGGCCGCGCACGAGGTCCGTGACGCCACGCAGCACGCGGGCGTAGCGGCCTTGGTCGCTGTAGTCGCCCATCACTGAGTCGGCGACCACGTAGTCCACGCCGTAGTTGGTGGTGCCGAAGTTCGAGCCGCTATAGAAGCAATAGTACTTGCCGTCACGCTTGACGACCCAAGGCGCCTCGATCGTGTGCCAATCGAACATCTTGTCGCCGAGCATCGGCATCGCGCGGTTGGCCTCGAAGAGGGTCCAGTCGTGCCGCGCGCGGACGACAACCTTGGGATCGCCGGCGAGCTCCGTCATGTCGATAAGCCGGTCAACGACGATGCCCGTCCCGGCGCGGAATCCCCCGTCGGTGTCGGTGAAGTCTTTGGCGTAGAAGAAGTACCACTCGCCGTCGTCGTCCAGAAAGGGATGCCCATCGATGAAGAACGGCGCGCCGGCGCCGTCCTCGAGCGGGAGTCCGTTGTCTTTGTACGGCCCAAGCGGCGAGTCGCTCGTCGCAACGCGAATCTCGAAGTTGAGATCATGGAGCGTGCCGACGGAGTAATAGAGGTAGAAGACACCGTCGTGGTAGGCGACTTCTGGCGCCCAGTATTGCTTATTTTTGTCGTCAGTGGGCGGCGCCAACGCGCCGCCGTGGTCGGTCCAATTGACCAGGTCGGTTGAGCTGAGCACCCGGAAGACTCGGCCGTCCGACAGTCGGTCGGCGCCGGTCGTGCCGAAGGCATAGTAGGTCCCTTCGTGGACGAGCACGCCGGGGTCGGGCATGCCGCCCGAGTAGACGGGATTCGTGTAGGTCGCTCTTTCTTCTGCGGACGCCGCTCCAGCAAGAGCTAACAGGGCGAAAACAATTGAACAGGCGCGAGTCATAGGAGAGTTGGTTAGGCAAGCGAGCGAAAAGGATTGCGTTGCAAGGTGATAGCCGGGCCAGTGCCCATCACAGACGCCGGCGACGAAAGTTATTCTACCTGAGGCTCGGAGATGGTTCGACCAGCCCAAAACCCGCAGGATTTCAACAGGAGCGGAGTCGATTGTCTCGACACCGTGTCGATTTCAGTGACGCGGCGGCAACCCGTTATATCTCTATTGAGATCGAAATTCGGTGGAAAGCAGTAAGTGATCGAGGTCGCTGGCGCCTGTCCGAGGTCCATAGCGATAGGATCGCTGATTCGTTGAGAGGGAGTATTCTCAAGCGTCGAGATATGGGGCAATCGATCCAAGCGAAGCGATGTCAAGTTCTGCGGTCCGTCTCCTGCTCGCCGCCAACCTGAGGTCACACCCGGGTCGCTTCATCGCGGCGGGTGTGGCGATCGCGTTCGCTACGGCGCTACTACTTGCCGCGCTGATTGGGGGCAGGCCCTCCGCGACCAGACGCCACGCGCGGCGCAAACCCTGCTGGGGCCCGCGGAGGTGCATCTGGCCGCGACCGACACGGTGCATCCGTTTGTGGAGAGCGGTCTCATCGAATCGCTGCGCGCCGACCCCCGCGTTTCGTTTGTCGCTACCGCTGTGACAGTGCGGGCCGTCGATCTACCGGGACTCGAATCTGGCAAACTCGACACGGAGACCTTCTACAGTCTGGAAGACGGGGGCATGGGCGGTTGGATTCCGGGGCGGCGTGACGCCTTTGTGGCTTGGGATGACGTCAAGCCACAAAGGCCCCGTCGCCAGCGGGCGCCAGCCGGCGACGGGCGAGTAAGACCTCATCGAGATCGCGGTCCCGTCTGTTATCTGGG